AAAAACTGCTAGATCTGATTACTTTTTGTCTCTTTTAGAAGAAAACAAGCATAACCCCAGGTATTTATTCAATAAGGTGGCTAAATTAACGAAAAATAAAACATCAACAGGTGTTGACATTTCCCAACAGCACAGCAGTAATGACTTTATGAACTACTTTACTTCCAAGATCGATACTATTAGAGATAAAATTGTAACCATGCAGCCGTGAGCTACAGTATCGCATCAGATAGTGTGCTATAGATCCCCTGAGGAACAATTCCACTCATTCTCTACTATAGGAGAGGAAGAATTTTATAAACTTGTTAAATCATCTAAACCAACAAAATGTATGTTAGCCCCCTATTCCATCTAAGCTCCTTGTGGTGAGGGGGCGTGGTTCAGCGAAGTCTGCAGCGAGAGAGAAGGTTGGGAGACGAGCGGTGAGTAAGTAGGTGAAGTGCAAAATAATGAGCACCTGTGTCTGATTGCAGTAATTGGCCTGGAGAAGACCGGTTAAAAGGGCGACCGGAGAACGTGGAGGCAGAGAGAGACAGGACGGAGACTCATGAACATTACCCTGCCTGAGAGAGAAACCCAAGGAACTGGATTTGTGCAGTTGACATTGTGTGAATGCGCAGAGAGCGAGACTTTTGTTTGTTAGAATTTTGAGTTATTGATAAAGCTACACGAGTCTCTAAAACGCCAACCTTGGTCACTTCCTTACTTTAAACTTTTGTTACACTGGTGCCGAAACCCGGGAAGGAAGGGCTAACGCCACTGCCATCATGTCATCTCCGTCGAGTTCGCCGTTTCCGGAGGTCATCCACTCGCTCGAGGGACTCCATCAGGAGCACCATCAAGCACTGCTGGACATGAGGGAGGATCAGGAACGTCGGTTCCGGGCCCTCGTCCAGACGCAGCAAGAGGACCGCGAGCTGTTACGGAGCTTGATGGACCGGGAGGTTCGGGCTGGGGGAAGTCCATCTGCCCCGGCCCTGCCAGCCCACATGCCTTTGAAAAAGATGGGCCCACAGGATGATCCGGAGGCCTTCGTCAACCTCTTCGAGAGGACCGCGGAGGCATGTGGGTGGCCCCGGACGAACTGCCCAGTGCGTCTCATTCTGCTGCTTTCGGGGGAGGCACAGATGGCTGCTCAACAGCTGCCAGTTCAGAACCTCCTGGTCTATGACGACCTCAAACGAGCCATCCTCCAGCGGGTCGGCCTGAACCCCGAGCAACACCGTCAGCGATTCAGATCGCTGGAGCTGGGGGAAAACGGCCGGCCCTTCGTGATGGCTCAGCAGCTCCGGGACGCGTGTCGCAGATGGCTGTTGGCCAGGGGAAGCGACGTCGACCAGATCATCGATTGCGTGGTGCTGGAACAGTTCATCGCGCGGCTATTTAATGCCCAATAATTCGTAAAGCTTGCGTATTGTACGTGACATGTATATGATGCTGTACATCAGTCAAAAGCTCTCTAAGAGAGAGACGATGTACAGCACCATTGAGAAGGAATGCTTGGCGATCCGGTGGGCGGTTCTTACCCTCCGCTATTATCTCCTGGGACAGGAATTCACTCTCTGTTCAGACCACACACCCCTGCAGTGCCTCCACCGTATGAAAGATACCAACGCGTGGATCACCCATTGGTATCTGGCATTACAGCCCTTTGAATTCAAGGTGGTCCACAGGCCGGGTGTATGGATGGCTGTAGCCGACTTTCTCTCCAGAAATGGAAGGGGGGTGCTGCAGGCCGGAGGGCTCCCCGGCCTGAGTCGGGCAGTGGGGGTATGTGGCGAGGGGGGCGTGGTTCAGCAAAGTCTGCAGCGAGAGAGAAGGTTGGGAGACGAGCGGTTAGTAAGTAGGTCAAGTGCAAAATGATGAATACCTGTGTCTGATTGCAGTAATTGGCCTGGAAAGACCAGTTAAAAGAGCGACTGGAGAACGTGGAGGCAGAGAGAGACGGGACGGAGACTCATGAACATTACCCTGCCTGAGAGAGAAACCCAAGGAACTGGATTTGCGCAGTTGACATCGAGTTATTGAATAAGGCTACACGGGTTTCCAAAATGCCAACCTTGGTCACTTCCTTCCTTACTTTGAACTTTTGTTACAATCCTAAGAGGTACTTCCAGAAGTCATAGATCCTCTTCTGACTATTATTAATTCGTCATTGTCATTAGGATATGTCCCCAAAACCTTCAAACTGGCTGTTATTAAGCTTCTCATCAAAAAAACACAACTTGACCCCAAAGAACTAGTTAATTTCAGACCAATCTCGAATCTCCCTTTTCTGTCCAAGATACCAGAAAAGGTAGTATCCTCACAAGTATATTCCTTCTTAGAGAGAAATGGTATCTGTGAGGATTCCCAGTCAGGATTTAGACCGTATCATAGTACTGAGACTGCTCTCATTAGAGTTACAAATGACCTGCTCTTATCATCTGATCATGGTTGTATCTCTCTATTAGTGCTATTGGATCTTAGCGCTGTGTTCGACACTATTGACCACAACATTCTTTTGAATAGACTAGAAAACTTTGTTGGCATTAATGGAAGTGCATTAGCATGGTTCAAATCGTACTTATCTGACCGCCATCAATTCGTAGCAGTAAATTAAGAAGTATCATATCGATCATAAGTGCACTTTGGAGTACCTCAAGGCTCAGTACTAGGGCCGTTACTTTTCACGCTTACTGAGCCTGGTTTCTCCAAAGGTTTTTTTCTCCATTCTGTCACTGATGGAGTTTTGTTTCCTTGCCGCTGTCACCTCTGGCTTGCTTAGTTGGGGACACTTAATTTCCAGCGATATCGTCGACTTGATTGCACAGATACTATTTAAACTGAACTGAGCTGGATGATGACATCACTGAATTCAATGATGAACTGCCTTTAACTGAAAATTGAGTGTTTGTAATTTTGCATTATTGACACACTATTTTCCTAATTAATGCTGTACAGTTGCTTTGACGCAATCTGTATTGTTAAAAGCGCTATATAAATAAAGGTGACAACTGAATTGACTTGACTAGAACTCTTTTGAGGCTCAGGCTGTGGGGCGATGATCGGCTCAGTCGCAGGTGTGCACGCTGGCTCACGTGTCACGGCGGGCTCAGGCAATTGCTCCATGCAGCGGGATGACGGCTGGCTGGTCTCTGGTTCGTGAGTGGGGCTGGAGATATCCTCCTCAGCGGGGCAGATGGAGAAATATAGTCCATTACTCTCCAGCACCCACTCCACAAATGCGGCTATATTCTCCTTTGGACCGTCCGTTGGCAGGCGTGCCTTACACCACTCGCTCAGGCTGGTGATGTAGAAAACACAGAGCGAGCGGTCCGGGAAGTGAGTAAGACACGCCAGATTGATAAAGTCCCTGGTGTGGTCCTCCAGCGGATGTTCCTACTGCTCCAGGCAAAGCAGCTGGACTGCAGGCAGGTCCATAGTGGGAGAAAAAACAAAAGGCAAGGGGGGAAAAAAACCGCAGCAAAACTCTTAACTGTTCCGGTATTCTGTCACGTGTAGCTATGGAAAGCACACAACGCAGGAATAGAAATAAACAAGATAGTCCTTTAATAAATCCACAGGCAGGAGAAATGCAGGAGATTAACACAAATCAACATCAATATAACATAAATACCGGAACTATGGAGCAAGGGCAAAACACAGGGCTTAAATAATAGGAGACAAACGAGATCATTAATAAACACAGGTGGAACCGAATGAACTAATCAGGGCAACTCAGGAAAACTAGGTCAAAGGAACAAAAGACAGGAGATCAGGAACACAAACAAAAGTCCAGAACCGTGACAGTAAGACAATCTGATTAGGTATTTTGCGCTGTAAAATCATCCTACCTGTTTATTTTAATAACGTATTTGCGCTGTATAGTCGTGTCCTAATAGTTAGAGGGTCGGACTCGTAACCCAAAGATTGTGGGTTCGAGTCTCGTACCGGCAGGGATTGTAGGTGGGGGGAGTGAATGTACAGCGCTCTCTCCCACCTTCAATACCACGACTGAGGTGCCCTTGAGCAAGGCACCGAACCCCCAACTGCTCCCCGGGCGCCCACTGCTCCGGGTGTGTGTTCACGGTGTGTGTGCACTTAGGATGGGTTAAATGCAGAGCACTAATTCCGAGTATGGGTCACCATACTTGGCCACATGTCACGTCACTTTTCACTTTTTAAAATCATCCTTCCTATTCATTTTATAATTGTAGGACAATCTGATGATGTTATTGGCACTATACCATTACCTATACCATTGCCTAATAAGAATCTTTGGCAAAGTTACACTGAATTATTTTACGTAGTCACAGGCGCGAAGCAGAAACTCACAGTAGAATTTTTCGATGAGGTTGGATGGATCGATAGATATAGCTAAAAGTTTGCACTATGGTAGGAAAATCTGACAAGGTAGGACAAATCGACAGAACAACGGCAGTTCTTAAAAGCTGAAGAATTCCAAAGGAACACTGTTTAGACAGGAAAATACAACAAAGAATATCGTTTACATGTAGTGCGTCAATTCTGCACTGTATGCAAGACTCTCTCGCTCTCTCTCTCTCTTTGCGTGTGTGAGACAAAGCGACGACAAGTCGTGCGCTTCACACTAGAGTTTACGGTGCGTCAAATACAGGTGCGCTGTGCATCCATTGAGATGAACTGAAAAAAAGCACAGATCGCTTGACGGAGTAAAACTCTAAAGCGCTCAGTGTTTTCGGCGAGTGAAAATATATCTGTGCTAAACTTATACTTAGCCTCCAACTCACACACTAGCGAGTAAAATCTGAGAATTTATTAGTTTGTGGACTTCAGTTCGGATTTTCTCAGGATGAGTTCTTGTGTCCAGTGTGTCTGGATCTCTTGAAGGATCCAGTGGTCATTCCCTGCGAACAAAGTTACTGTAAGAGCTGTATTACAGACTGCTGGGATCAGGAGGATCAGATGAGAGTCTACAGCTGCCCTCAGTGGACACATGAACTCATCCGGAGAAACTCTGGCTTCTGCCATTTTACTGCATGAATACAGAGATACAAACACACAACAGCTCAACTGAGGGAGAAGCTCAACAGAAGGAGAAGAGGGGAGTTTTAGCAGTGGATGTGGGTTGTTTGAACTTCACACACATCACTCAAACACAGAACCAGGAAACGGGAAACACGTGTGTGCTGTGTACGATTATCGAACATAAAAACCACGACACTGTATCAGCTGCAGAACAGAGGACAGACAAGCAGGTATTTAAAACTAGACACTGATGAAGTATTGCTTACATTCATTTCATATGTGTTTATATCGGCACCCATATTAACAGAGAAGTGTTTCACTCTTTGCTGAAAATGCACCATAAAACTTTATCAACACATACAATACACCATGATTAAGCAACATATAATAATGGATGGAGCTATTCACCCATTCTTTGACAAAATATATACTCCATCAGTCAAAATGTAAGTAAAATGCAGTGACAGATGAGTTTCTATTCAGTAAATCTGACTGAATTCCGGAGTCATTTATAGCTTTACTTTGTTCATTTATTTTCAGTGTAGAGCCGCATATTAATTACACAGAACACAGAAATACTGTCAATGTGAAGCTCTACGTCTGTGTCAGTTTCACTTTTATAATACTTACACTTGCAGTGTGAAAAAAGCCTTAAACTTATTATTTATTCATGTATGATGATTGTAACTGATCATCACTTCTGGAGTTTGAACCTACAGCCATTAGTTAACAGCTCCACTTTTACTGAATTCATCTGTTCACATGAAGATTTAGTGCCAGTAGTTTTCTGTGATGTTCACTATCATCCGTTTGTCCTGCAGAAGCAGCTGAAGAAGACGCAGAAGACGTTCCAGCAGAGAATCCAGCAGAGAGAGAAAGATCTTCAGCAGCTGAGAGAGGCTGTGGAGTCTCATAAGGTGAGTCTGGAGAAGAAGAGAAGTTTGTCTCAGTCTCAGTTCAGACTCACTGAAGCCTGAATCACTGTGTGTCCTAACAGCGCTCTGCACAGACAGCAGTGGAGGACAGTGAGAGGATCTTTACTGAGCTCATCCGCTCCATTGAGAGAAGCCGCTCTGAGCTGATACGGCTGATCAGAGATCAGGAAAAGACTGCAGTGAGTCGAGCTGAAGGACGACTGGAGCGACTGGAGCAGGAGATCAATGATCTGAGGAGGAGAGACGCTGAGCTGGAGCAGCTTTCACACACACAGGATCACATCCAGTTCCTGCAGGTAACAGAGATCTAGAAGAACAGGATCATAGTGGCCTTGAGCAGATCCTGCTGTGACAGGAGACCAGAGGTGTAATGCCCATTCAAAGTGAGATTTTTGAGCCAAGTGGATTTTGAACGCAGCTTCCAAAAGACAAAAAAATAGCCGATTAATATTTTATATATTTAATACAATCACACCGGCGTGATTAGACCGTTCAGCGTGTCATATCATCAGCTGCTAAATTCAAATCTGCATTCGCTGGCTGGCGCTGAGCCAGATACGTGTTTTTACAGCACTGCGCATTAACCAATCACACACGATGCTGTTGAGCTTATGAATGCAATGACCAATCAGAGGTGTTCAGATGAGTCATGCAAAAATGCCATTGTTTTCTTCACTTGCTCGCTGACTGAATACCTCTTTCTGGCAAATTCTCTCGTCAGAAACAAGAAAGTGCAAATGTGAGTACGAATCTGTAAGATATTAATTTCATAGTGTAAACAGCTTCAGTGATTTTAATGGGAGTTTTTGAGAGTGCTTGAACTAGACTGTCGGTGAAAATGTTTTTTGATAATGTAAATGTTCTTTGCTCTCTTTCTGTACAATGAAAGTGTTATGATTTAGTAGCCTAACTTGCAATGTTTTTATTCACATTAAATATAAACTCAGTCGTATTAAAATATGTTATGGCATGACACCCATATCTGTTAATTAAGTAAACAGACAGGTTTTTATGCATAGTTAATAGATAACATTATTAGGTTACTTTGACCATCATAGATCAACATAATCTATAAAGGTGAGAATCAAGATATTTCATGATATAGTTAATGCGTTTGGGCATGTTTCGAATAAAAAGGAAAAAATAAATAAAACATAAGTGCTGTTGTGGCTGTGTCACATGACTTAATAGTATAGATTCTGAGTAACGTTCATCAAAATTGGATCAGATGATCATCAAACATGATTAAAAAATGCATATTTTTATTTGCCTGTAACACATTGATAAATGTGACCATGAAGACCCCAAACATGAAGTGAGGCTGTATATTAGCAATGCTTCAGTGTATAGAAACTAGGGTTGTCAGTCGATTTAAATTTTTTATCTAATTAATTACATGATGTGTCGATTAATTAATCTAATTAATAGCAAATTACGTTTGGCTGTGAAAATACCCCCAACAGTTTATTTAAAGCTATTTTTTGTGTTAAATGAGAACGTACATAGTACAAATAGTAACTTTAGAAATAAATATTTGATTTGATTCAATATCAAATTTATTACACATAAACGTTTAGGCTACAACAGCCTAACATAAACTATAGAACATAAAAGAAGATAATTTGAGAAAACATCTTTTTTTTTCGTCCATGCAATGAAAGTCACTGGTAACCAAAACAGCTTTGTTACCAACAGTCATCAAAATACCTTTTTTTTATGTTCCACAAAAGAAAGTAAGTCATTCAGGTTTGAGTAAATGATGACATACTTTAATTTTTTTGCGTGAACTATACCTTTAAAGTTTTTTTTCCCCTTTTTAATTTTTTTTTACATTTTTTTAATTTTAAATGAAGTAATACAATAATACTCTAAATAAAAAACTAAATCTGCCAGCAGGTGGCGGTCAATGTGTTTGAGACTTTCATTCGATTCGTTCAAACGGCTGATTCATTCAGGAATTCAGTAAACGGCTCACTTTATGAACAGACCTTTATCACACTTCCTATATCCGGTAAGTGAAGCAGTGTATCGCCACTTCCGGTCCCATCGCAATGCAATCAAAACTAATGGGCGAATCCTCTCTTTCCTTTCTTCCTTTCTTTCTTTCTTCTCTCGCCGGTGTTACTGCACCGTACCTGGCTGCTATAATTCTAAACAACGACACACTGCCTCAGTTTTCACGATTTCCTGACACAACACGAAATGAGGAAAGCATGGATGAGACTGATGCGGTGGGATTGAAGGTCCATATAAATTATGCAGGAGCACGTTCGTGTGCAGTATTTGTTTTGAAACTGAGGATGTTTAGGCCTACATCTCATAACTTCAACCTACTGAAATGTTCCTGTTAATATAGTTCCTTTCCAAATGTGCATTCTGAGTAATAAATAAATGTATTTCCCAACTAACCTGCTGCAGTCAAGTTCGTCTTCTCATTAAGGGTGGCTCAATACCACTTTTTCAGAATTGCTCCTGATCCGATACCAAAAATTCTGAGTATCAGCCAATACCGATATCGATCCGATACCAGCACAGTTTTTTTTTAATCAGTGTAGAATTTCTATAACTCAATGTGTGTTGAACTGATCATCGCTCTTTTGTGTGTTACACGCAATCTACTAAATATAGATAACTTTCTTATAAATAAAAAATAACAAACGGAAAAAAAAATATATAAAATCATAATCTTATGATAAAAATACTATTATGAACTAAGTTAGTGGATAATTCAGTAGCAAAAGTTATTCTAGAAAAATCTTGAGTGCACAATAATTTTATAAAATAAAAAAAAAATAAAAACATTTAAAAACAAACACTTATTCAAAAGTTAATGTGTCGAACTAAATCTGGTAAAATGTTACACTTTGCTCTTTGTATGGTTGTAAAATGCATTAATGAAAAAAGTAATATGTTTATATAGAAATATATAGGGCTTACTATAAAATTAAAATATATATTTTTTAAATGTATAGCAGAGTAATGAGGCAGCAACATATGATAGATAAGACGAACAAGAAAAGCTATTAATAATCTGTCATTGTGCAAAAGTATTATGATACGAAAGGCTCCAATAAAGAGCGGCACAAAGCGCTTATGCGCATCCTGTGCGCAGAATGATGCGCTTGAAGCAACACTGAGTCACAGCGCGCAGGCACAGCGCTCCGCATAGAAAAGTTCAAAGCACAAAGGGAAGAGACATTGATGCATAGTGAATTAAATCTGTGCGATAGTTTATTGAGCCCTTTCTTTTAACAGTTTTAAATCTCAGTTACTGTGCTCGTGAAAAGCAATTCATAGTGCTCTAACACAGTAGAAATAAACATGATTTAGACACAAAATGAAACTCCAGCAAGATAAAGTCATTTTATGCAAAACCATTTATCTTTATTTGCAGATCAAGTATAATATTAGGAACATTGAATCATCTTGGAGAGAGTTTCATCGTCTTGACTGTCGTAACCAAACACGATACGCAGTTTGAATGCTGAATGGAGGATGACTGAAAGCCGCAACGAAGAGAAGAGTTTACATAAATATTCATCTATACTTCACATTAAACTGTGGAACGGCTTCAGAACACTTGGAATATAGTGCACGAAAATTGTATGGTGCTTTATGATGTTTTTGTGGCTTTCGTGGGGCTTAACAATAACACAGAATAGTATACACAGAATATCAGATTTGGATCGGTCTCGTCTGACCGATACCCGATCCGGCAGAAAATGCTAGTATCGGAGCCGATATCAATACTGAGTATCGGATCGGCACACCCCTCCTTCTCATTAACAATGTTTTTCTCTTACTGATCATATTTCATACCTGTTTAAATTCATTTGACTGATAAACACCCTTACAAAAATTAACCATGGTTTTATTATAGTAAAAATGTAGTAACCATGTTTGTTTATTTTTTTGCGGACTGATTTCCATTTGTATTACTACAGTTTTACTACACATACCATGGTTAAACTATGGTTTGCAAAACCATGGTTAATTTTCATAAGAGCAGTATTAAAATAGATGAATGAATGTGCGGAAGTTGCCTTAAAGAAATTTAACAATGTTAAACATTTATAACGCGTTGACAGCATGACTTTGAATATTAAGAATTTTGGCTTAAATATGTGAATTACATGTCAAAAAACTGTCAATGAAAAATGACTAAAATTTAATTAAAATTAATAAATATGTTAATTCTGATCTTATTCATCAGGTCTCGCACACACTGCAGCATCACAGTCACTATTTAAACTAGGGATGCATCGATCCGATACTCAGTATCAGTATCGGCTCCGATAATGCCATTTTCTGCCGGATCGCGTATCGGTCAGATGAGACTGATCCAAATTCGATATACTGCGTATACTATTCTGTGTTATTGTTAAGCCCGACGAAAGGCACAAAAACATTATAAAGCACCATAATGTTTTCGTGCACTATATATTAAAGGGGTCATATGATGTTGCTAAATCAATGTTTATTTGGTGTATTTGGTGTAATGAAATGTGTTTATGCGGTTTAAGGTTAAAAAAACACATTATTTTCCACATACTGTACATTATTGTATCTCCTCTATGCCCC